ATGCATCTTTTTGTCTGGCCCACAGTCAGGAATTGATAAGTTGCTGCTGAGCAAATGAATGGAAGCTAGGGAGAAATAAGCAGCATGAATTTTCTAATATACAGTGTACTATTATTCTGTATGTCATATGCTGCTTTGAACAGACTTTGCTAAATAGCTTCCATGTGCTTGAAGTGTCACTTCCTCCATGTAGTCATTACTATTATTTGAGAATAGGTCTCATCTTACAGCTGTGTTATATGAGAAGCACTATTATTCATTTTTGTCTCCCTCACAGTACCAGTCACTCTAAGGCAAACAAAATATTTGTCTAATTAATACGCTTAAACTCCAAGTTACACAGCATATCACAATGTACTATAGTAATGAAAATGTTGATTTTTATTTATTTATTTTTTAATTATTATTATTTTTTCCTTTTTGTCTTTTTTACTGACCAGTAACGGGATCGCAACCCTCGGTGTCACGCCTGTACCGGGTACCGGCAACGGGATCACAACCCTCCGTGTTGCGCCCGCACCGCGCTCAGCCAGTGAGTGGGAACCGGTCTCCACATGGGATCCGAACCCTCGGCAGGAGCGCCGCCACGCTCCCAAGCGGCGCACTCTCCAGTGCGCCACCGGGCCGGCCCTTGATTTTTATTTTTATGCTACAAAAAAATTTAATTGAAACCTAATTGATTATACATATTTGTTTGGTACAGAGTTGACTATCAATATTTGTGTACAATATGGAATGCTCTAATTATCATTACAAAATGTAATGATTCTTTGTGTCCATTAACCAATTTCTTGCTAACCTCCTACCACCTCCCCCACTTCTGGTAACCACACTTCTGTTCTATCCTTCTGAAAGTTCAACATATTGTTTTTTTCTCTTTCCTTCTCTTTCTTTTCTTCCTTCCTTCCTTTGCTCCTACTTATGAGTGAGAACATGTGGTATTTCTCTTTCTGTGCCTGGCTTATTTCACTTAACATAATTTTCTCCAAGCTCATCCATGTTGCTGCAAATGGCAGAATTTCATTTTTTTTTGTGGCAGAGTAGTATTCCTTTGTGTATATACATCTCATTTTCTTTATCCATTCATCTGTCAATGGATATTTAGGTTGGTTTCATATCTTGGCTATTGTAAATAGAGCTGCAATAAACATGGGAGTGCAGGTGCCCCTACAACCTAATGATTTCCATTCCTTTGGGTGTATACCCAGTAGTGGTATGGTAGTTCTGTCTGTAGTTGTTTGAGAAACCTCCATACTGTTTTCTATGATGGCTGTACTAATTTACAGTCCCAACAACAGTGTAGAAGAGTTCACCTTTCTCTACATCCTCACCAACATTTGTTATTCTCTCTTTTTGATAATCGCCAATCTAACTGGGGTGAGGTAATATCTCAGTGTGGTTTTGATTTGCATTTCCCTGATGATTAGTGATTCTGAGCATTTTTTTCATGTACCTGTTGGTCATTTGTATGTCTTCCTTTGAGAAATGACTATTCAGCTCCTTTGCACATTTTTTAATCGTTTTTTTTTTTTTTTTTACTGTTAAGTTGTTAGAGTTGCTTGTATATTCTGTATATCAATCCCTTGTTCAATATATAGTTTACAGATATTTTCTCCCATTCTGTAGGTTTTCACTGTTGATTGCTTCCTTTGCTGTGCAGAAGCTTTTTAGTTTGATATAATCCCATTTGTTCATTTTTCCTTTTGTTGCCTGTGCTTTTGGGGTTGTATTCATAAAGTCTTTGCCCAGTCCTATATCCTGAAGTGTTTCCCCTATGTTTTCTTCCAGGAGTTTTATAGTTTCAGGTCTTATATTTATGTCTTTAATCCATTTTGAGTTGATTTTGGTGTATGGCTAGAGGTAGAGGTCTAGTTTTATTCTCTACACACAGATATCCAGTTTTCCGAGGACCATTTATTGAAGAGGCCATCCTTTCCCCAGTGTATGTTCTTGGTAACTTTGTGGAAGATCAGTTGGCTGCAAGTATGTAGATTGATTTCTAGGTTCTCTATTCCGTTCCATTGGTGTGTCTTTTTTTTTAATGTCAGTACCATGCTGTTTTGGTTACTATAGCTTTGTAGCATGATTGGATGTCAGATAGTGTAATGCCCTTGGCTTTGTTTTATTTATTTATTTTTGCTCAGGATTGCTTTGGCTTTTTAGGGTCTTTTGTTGTTCCATATAACTGTTAGGATTGTTTTTTCTATTTCCATGAAGAATGTCATTGATTTTTTGATGGGGATTGCATTGAACCTGTAGATTATTTTGGGAAGTATGGACATTTTCACAATATTAATTGTTCCAGTCCATGAACATGGGATGTCCTTATTTTTTGTGTGTCCTCTTTCATTTCCATCAGCAGTGATTTGTAGTTCTCATTGTAGTGATCTTTCATCTCCTTGGTTAAATTTATTCCTAGGTTTTTTGGGGATTTTTTGTTTGTTTTGTTTATTTGGGTAGCTATTGTAAATGGGCTTGCTTTCTTGGTATCTTTTTCTGCTAGTTCTTTGTGGGAATATAAAAATGCTACTTTTGTATGTTGATTTTGTATCCTGCAAATTTACTGAATTTGTTTATCAGCTCTGAGAGTTTTTTGATAGTCTTTATTATTTTTTAAGTTCAGCTTTGAAGAGCAATTTTGAGAAGAAAGATACACCAAAGATGTCTTTATAGCACTGAGCACCTCTCCTAAAATAACTAAAATATTATTTGGCCTTAAAAAATGTCATTTTTATATTATTTCAAGAATACAGTCATTATGTAAGGAGAAGTACACTTGTATTAATTGTCAGTTTTTGGTCTAAAAGAGGCAAAGTTTCAGGGATACAGAGCTTATTCTCTTGTTTCATAGCAGCATCCAGGTAGGTTTCCAATTAGGACAAAGATGGAAAATCAGCAATTAGAAGCAACTTTATCTAGATTTTTTTTTTTTTAACAGAAGGCTATTTTATTAATTCAACTCCAGGATAAAGGAATTTTAAAGTAACTTTGACAACTTGAAAAAGAAAAGAAAAGCTATTGAGTGTGATGTTTTCGATTAGAAAAAGCTTGTACCTTAAAGAACAGATTGTGTAAAGCAGTGAGGGCCACAAGAGTGAAAGATGGAAGCCTGCTTTATGTGAAGTGGTAAGAGGTGGGACAGTGACTTTCTAAACAAAAGAAAATCATACTCCTTGTTCCAAAGTGTTTGTGAGACTAAACACTCAATGCTATCATATGGCAATTGCTCTTCTGTTTACTCTGATCCAGCCCAAATAGTACCTTCTATGGTAATTTGTATGGGAACAGGTTTATCCAAGATTTTGACTGGTCATTTTCCTGCTCATAAAGTCATTCAAAGTTTTCCTTTGTAAACTTTTTAAAAAGTTAAACAGAAATTATTTAGGGTTTCACATCTGGGTTGCTGCAGTTAAGAGCCAAGTCTACATCATTTCAGAGTCTGTTTCCAGCTCAAACTTTCCCTTGTACCTAGAAAAAAAGTCTTTGTTTTTCCAGTTGAGAGTAAAAAATGCATTAACATGCCGTAATGAATCAATTATAATTGGCACTAACAAAACATTATTTCTTATATATACATTTTGCGGTGGTGTATCTTATTATTTGGGAAATGGCAAGACTCAGGCTATGGTTAAATCAAAGTCTGAGAAAACCAACTCCCTAATAGGTGGCATTTCATTTTCATGGTGCAGACAACTACTTCCATATCATATGCCATCACGTCTTCCCATATAAATGATACATCCTTCTTCAGCATTTTCTAGACAATTTTAAATTTACAAACTTAGAGTTTAAAAAGGTAAAGATCCAAGTCAGTTGGTCAAACAAAAAGAATCTTTCCTCTCAAGATAGTTTTACTCTCTGCATTGGAAACTTTGTACAAATTTCTATATATACTAGGCTTAGTAGTAGTATTTGGAAAATATATAAGGCCAAGAACTGAACGAGGAACCAAGAGATCTCAATTCTCTGTGAGTTCTGCCATCAGTTCACAAAGTAAATGATTTGGGGTAAGTCACTGATTCCCCTTAGGTATACAAATTGAACAGATTTAAGTTCTTAGAGTTGCTGTTGGGCATACAAGTCCTCTGCAAATAACTGGGGTACTTTACTGCTTACATTTTCATTATTTGTTCCACTTATAAGGTTTTTTTTTTTCTTTAATACCTGTGAAGATGAACAACTGTATAGTTTCAGTTGCCCAACCAGTTTTGCTGCCTTTAAAAATATTGTGGAACAGGAAAGACTGTCTCAACTCTTATTCCAATTTGTTCCTTTCTATCAAAATTCTTTTTATATTCAACATCAGGCTGTAACTCACACTACTTTTAATTTTAGAAGCCAGCATTCCTTATAACTCTGTTTCTCCTGTATTAACATTTTATTTAGATATTAGAACTTCCTCTCCAGATATTTAACAAAGCCTTGCTTAATCCACATGTATTACCTTACCCCTGTAGGCGTACACATTACTAATTTTCTTTCAGAATGCCAAAGATCATCGCATCCTTGTTATGAATATAATGTTTCTTGAGAAAGTTAGGAAAAATTATATCAGTATTTTTACAGATGCTTTGAAAAGGAAAACAACTCAGCACTTTTCTTAATCTTATACTTTTCAATAAAACCCAAAGTCCCTTGCTTCATACCCTATTTTACTTGCAGCATTTTTAAACGTTTAAAATGGCCTGCTAGCCCAGAGGTTATAATAGTAACCCAACTATATTTACCCAACTTGTGTCACAGGTAGTGTATATGTTAAAATACATGCCTTAAGTCCTAGTTCATATCACTACATAGGAAACATACATATACCCCCTTATATTTATTTAAAACAAATAAGGGGAACATTTTTGTACATCACATCTTTGTTCTCCTGGAAGAACCCTTTTCTTAGCCACACGCGATGCATCAGGAGCCTCCATCTTTAAATGAAGCATCAACAGAGAATTCCCAAATACTAAGAACTCTTGGTTAGTGATTAAATAATGACATCCACAAGCCAAACTTGAGCTGTTTTAATTAGATAATTTTACACATAAATTCCCTCATTAGCCAGAGTTATTTGTTATTTTAAATGGCCAAATTAATATGCAACATATCACAATTATTTCTCTTGCATATGACCAAGAGTTAAAAAAAAAATTTAAAAACCTATTGCCACACAGAACCATACTTTCTTTTTGCTGCATTATGCTCTGAGGGTTAGCTTTTGCATGCCACATCTCTATCATGCTTTTCACTGCATTATGTACTATGCAAGTCATGTTAAAAAAACAAGCAAAAAAGTATTAAAAACAATAATTCATATATTTTATTATAAAAGTGTGCTTTATTATAAGGAAAATTTAAATATAACCAACAATACTGAAAATAATGTAACTGGCATTTATAGCCTTTGTCAGAGTTTTTTATTAAACAAGCATTTGTCTGCTGTTCCATGAACAGTTAACAATCAGCTTATGCAACAAATAACTTGGAAAAGTGAATAAAGAATACGTAATGATGAACCAGGAATTCTGGGTTCTTTTGTGTTTTTCCTTGTTTAACAGACATGACTTTTAAAATAAAATTTGAAATAGAAAAGAAGTCATCTTCCTGTAAAGAACTCTCTTTTCCTACAAGAAGGTTTTGCAAATATGCTAAAGTGTTCTAAAATGTGGCTGAAGTTATACTTTACATACTTAACTTCTTATATATACATCATACAATTAACATTCTAACCACATTTTCATATACAAGTGGGACCATAAACATTCTCTAACAAGACCACACTAGCCACAGAACAATTTTACCCATGTATAGATATATTCTTTTAAAACATGTTTCCCAAAATGAAATTGCTCATTTAAAAGCAAACAACTAGTCAGAAATAATGTCCCTAGACGTTGGGTTATGGGGCCTAGAAATCATGTAAGAGTATATTGCTTTGGTTGAATATAATTAAATTCATCTATGTGGCAGAATACTAAGCATATCAATGATCACTAAAAACCAAGTAAGTTCATTATGCACTTTTAACTATGAGTCTATATTAAAGCAAATGGCAAGGCCTAATGGTATACGTAGAATGGGCAGAAATTCCTTTTATCTTTATATATGGTTTTGCTTATAAAAATTTGTTTCTACCACATTAAAGGAAGTTTTTAAGTAAAACCAAAAAGAGACAAAAACAGAAAACAAATCTCACTGGCTTCTGAACAATGAAATTGCGGTTAATGCCATTATAAGGAAGAACAAAAACCCATGGGAGTAGATGTCTGCAAAGGATTGTATTATGTATACCTAGTGAAAAACAAATATCCTGTGGGCATGTTCATAAGGATTCCAAAACATTTTTGATATAGGGTTTTTTTAAATATAAGAGCTTAGGCTTTTAGAAGACAAAAAATGTCAGATTTAAGATTAAATAGGTTTTTAAAAACTTTTTGACATTAAATGTCAAGATCAAAATTTTTAAAGAATATAGAGAAATGGAAAATGAAAAAATGAAGCACAGGTCTATGCTTGATGAGGAAAAAATGCTTTAATGATCTCTCATCTAAAAAGACTCTTTTCCCTATTATCATAATGACTAAATTGTCTGTCCTTAAAACCACTGGAATATGTAGATTACTGACATTATGCCAAAGAAGTCAAAATGTACTTTATTGCAAAAATATAAAAAGTTTTAAAATTGCATATGATGTTTCATACCATTTCACCAATAGGCCAAGTCTAGTACATAACTTACAAGCCAGAAAAACTTTAAAACAAAAATTATTAAAATTTTACTATATATAATGAGTTATAAAAAGAATGTGATGCCATGCTACATAGCATGATTCATTGCCAAGTTCCCTCTTACATGGGTGTAGTCACTAACATGACATCAATCTGAAGAAGTCAAACACATATAGCCTATAACATCCTTTAATCACCTTCTTAAACATGGGTACTTTCAATAATATATTACAATCATTTAAATAAACCTTCCCATCAAATAATTTTGTGGAGTAGAAAGCCATTTTATTAGTATGTTGATTTTTTTTATGAACTACTCTTTAGAAAGTGATGTTAAAGCCTATTGACTATTAAATCACTACAGTTTACTGATACATTGTAAATATAAAAAAAGGAAAAAACCTGAAACCACAGAAAATGCTTGGCATCTACACAAACACATTCTCAGTGGACTAACCACTACTGTGTAATTTTGTCACTACAGGTCTTCTTGCTCCATACTTTTGCTCATGCAGTGGGTTCAACAATATCCATGTTTGTTCCAAACAGTGCAACTAACTGTTCTTCATAGGTGGCAATGTTCCTTTTCATAATTTCCATGCAAGGTCCCAAAAGCCTTTCAAATGCTTGCACATCCATGGCTGAGAAAAGGGAAGAATAAAAGAAATACAGCATTCTTTGCAAATCTGCAGAATTTCTAAGTCATTTATGGTATCCATTCTGTGTACATCAATAATACAATGGTATTTTTAGGTAAATATTGTAAAATACTTGAAAAAGCATAAAGATAATAATGTTCCACTTCAAAAAAGAAGTAGCTAGGGCCTTCTCAGGCCACACTCTCAGGTCCCTTGGCAATATGATGTGCAATGCTAGGTTGGTGGGAAGGTCCTGATCCAAGCTGAGAAAAGAATGAGGGACTGTCATGCAAGGCCTTGGAATTTCTAAATATAAATTTTGATGTTTCTACTTTAGTAATATGAACTACTCAGAGGCAACAAGGATTTTCTGTCCTGTTTTCCCTTCTCAGGGTTTACAATGCCATGTTGTAAAGAACAAATGTTACTTTTATAACTTTTACTATATGAGGGTACTTCAGTTTATTTTATTTTATGGTGGCTGGCTGGTACAGGGATGAAACACTGGACCTTGTCTTATCAGCAACATGCTCTAAACAACCTAACTGGCCAGCCCTAACTGTAAGGGTACTTTTAAAAGTTCACAGAAAAATAGAATTAAAAAAAATTCTGTAAACTTTTTGAAGTAACCTTGTATTTTACACTATTGTCTATGCAATTCAAAATGGCAGCAACCATGATGCTTTTGTGCACTTCTATAAGAGCATACTATATCACTTTGCTTAACTGTCTCATACATTTTAAAACTGAATTTATAATATACAGGTGGAAAATATGATCACATGCTCTACCATAGAAATACGAATTGAAATACATCATTTTGCAAAGGTAAAAAAGGTCATGTTTACAAGAATAAGCAGTAAATGGGCATTCTTGCACTGCTAGTAGCATGTAAATTGGTACAAATAAAGTGATCTTGCAAAATATATCAAAATTAATTTTTTAAAAAAACCCCACCTTCTGAAGACCATTTCTAAGGAAAAATCCTATATATGTAAAAGCCTTCTTTGTACAAAAGAATGCTCCGAAAAGAAAAATTCAAGCCAAAACCTGCAATATATTTACAAGTAGGGAGTGATTAATTGTGTATATTTACCTAACAGAATGTTAATATTTGATTTAATAAAATAAGAAAATCCCTAAACTATAATGAATAATAAAAAAAGCAGTTTACAAAACTGTTTAAAAACAGAAAACCCATGCAAATAAAAAAGACAAGAAGGAATTACAAGGGTACTTCAAAAATTTGGCAAAATAGAATTAAAAGATAATATGAATCTTCCCATGAACTTTTTGAGGTACCTTCACATTTTAGAGCAGAAACCACTAAATGGTGATGGTGGTATGGGTGATTCTTAGTTCTTCCCACATTTTCTGTATTTCTCAGATTTTCTTTAATGGGAGTATCATTTATTATTTAAAAAAATGAACAGAATTTCATTATGTCACCTTTACTTTACTCTTATTGTCTAATAGCAGGGAAATTACCTGTCAGTTTCTAATCATCTTCTCTTCCATCCAAGTATAACACTTGATTAATATTATACTTATTTAAAACCTTTTAAAAAGCAACTCCTCTAAGAAGTGAATTCTGAGGATCCCCGCAAATCTTAAAATATTGAACCTAAGTTTACTGTACTGAATTGTGGATGAACAGTACAGAAAAACTAATTACTATGGAATCAAAGAAAATGTCATCTATATTGCTACCTCCTGAATGGTATTTTTCATTATCAAAGCAAGTGATTTCTCAGATATGAATAAAGATGTCTTCCATATGAAGATGGTATTTCTGCCACGCTACTCTGGTAGAAGAAAGTACAGTTGACCTTTGAACAACACAGGCTTGAACTGCATGAGTCCACTCACATGCAGATTTTTCCCAATAAAAAAACTTACAGTATTAATATAGTACAGTACTATGTGTGTATTTTCTCTTATGATTTTCTTAATATTTTCTTTTCTCTAAGCTTACCTTATTGTAAGAATATAGTATATAATACATATAATATACATAATATGTGTTAATCGATTGTTCATGTTATTGGTAAGATTACAGGTCAACAGTGGGCTATTAGTAAAGTTTTTAGAGAGTAAAAAGTTATACATGGAGCTCAGTTGGTTAGAGCATGGTGTTATGACACCAAGGTCAAGTATTCAGATTCCCATACCGGCCAGCCACCAAAACAAACAACAGAAACAAAAGTTGTACTTGGATTTTTGATTGTGTGTTGGCGGGGGTGTCAGCACCCCAAAACCCACGTTGTTCAAGGGTCAGCTGTCATAAACAGCTGAACAACGGACAGAGAACATTGGATTCTGCCTTGACAAACCTGAACCTTTGTGTCCTGATGCTTGGATGAGTAAGAATTCTCACAGACAGACATTCCAACTTTCCCTGCAGAGTTTAATAATGGCCTTCATAAAATATTGGAATTCTTATTTTAATGACTAAAATAAGATTTTATTACATATATATACAAAAGAACAAATATATTTGTAAGTAAAAATTTTCAAAGAAATTAATGACTTCCACAAATTGATTTTATAATGCAATCAGTCCTAACCTTGTTACATTTTGTGAGGACTACGAAACTTGTGAACCCAATAAAATGATCTGTACAACATGAATACATAAAATGCAGACCACAATTTCAACCAGGAGAAGCATGCCCACCATTGCAATCCCTACCTAAACATTTGACAGTCCCAATGGCGTGTGCAGAAGCTGCTCGAGGCTTGTTAGTTACCAAGGCAAGCTCTCCAAAGTACTGTCCCCGGGAACATCGAGCGATTTCTACTGCACCATTCTCTTCCGCTTCTGATTTACCCTGACAAGGTAATTAAAAATATTAACTTTTACTCAGCTTATGAAAAAGAAAAGTTAACCTTAGTCTAAACATCAAAAAGAAAATCTATTGTTTCTTGCTAATATTATGTGGGTTTTTAGGACTTAAGAATGCTTACCTTTCTTTTCATAGTAATTTTCACTTCTCCTGATTCTACAATGAAAAAAGAATCAGCCAAATCTCCCTATCGGAATAAAACAACAAAAACAGAGGGTGAAAATGCAAATTTATCTCTGTCAGCAATACTGTTGCCTATCATACCCCTGAAATCAGTCCAATCCCAATGTACAGATATTTGCCTGAAAAGTGGAACCCCAAGGGAACAGGCTGTCTTGATTTCTAAATTGAGAGGTTATGACTGACAATTATATAGTAATGGTTTCTTTTGCAAAATTATTGGAAATAATATACTCTCTACCACAGTATTTCTGCTAAAAGCTAAGAAACTATGACAAATAACACTGGGGAAAGAACTTCACCCAAATTTCAGCCTGGATAACAGCACACATACTTAGAAATGGCAACACTGCTGTATATCCCAGCAGCATCCTCTCAATCAGCAGAAATAGGTCGGCTGATCCTGTGCTCTTCAGGAAGGGCTGAAATGTGCACCCTGTGTCCTCCTAACATAACAAGCACTGGCGTGGGGACCCAAGATAATCCAGCAACTTGCAAGAGCAGAAAGGGCCCAGATGTATTAGGAAGCAGTAGATGTTGGCCTTGACATTTTTACTAGTTAGTTAAGGACCAAACTGAAATGCCAGTCTATTAACAATCCACCTCAAGATTGAAAAGATTTCTGAAAGAAAAGTGTTCACATTTCTAACTGCATACCCATTTTTTCTTGTTTTTCTTTTTGAATGAATTTGACCTTGATTTAGAATGATGCATTCTGAATTAAACAATGTAATATGGAGGATAAGAGAGATACTGACTTTTCTGAGCCTCTCAAGGTGATTCTGGAGAAACTGAGGTATTTCAAAACTCTTTAGTACAATTCAAAAAATGCAGTATCAGATTATATCACAAAAATAAATGTTGGGGGCCAGCCCGTGGCTCACTCAGTAGAGTGCGGTGCTGATAACACCAAGGCCGCGGGTTCGGATCCTATATAGGGATGGCCAGTTTGCTCACCGGCTGAGCGTGGTGCTGACAACACCAAGCCAAGGATTGAGATCCCCTTACCGGTCATCTTTTAAAAAAATAAATAAATAAATAAAATAAATGTTGAATCTAGATTTCTATAATAAAGGGCCACCAGATATCTTTATAAATGCTTAAAAGACAACTAGTACATAAAAATATCTTTAATAAACCCTGAGTATAGCATATGTACTTTCTCTCTTTTAGATCAGGTGTTCATAAGAGCTTTGTGTTAAATTTTCAAGTGTTTTAAATCATAAGTCTACTGGCTACTGTGTAATCTTTTTTTTTTTTTTTTTTTTTAAAACATGCTGTAAGTGTATATAAAACTGGTGAAATCTGAATAAGGTCTGTGGATTGTGCCAATGTCAATGTCCTTGTTTTGATATTGTACAATGGTGATGCAACATGCATTGGGAGAAACTGGGTGAAGAGTACATGGGACTTCTCAGTACTATTGTTGCAACTTCCTGTTGAATCTATAATTATTTCAAAGTAAAAAGCTAAAAAAATCATTTAAGAAGTGTTCTATGCTTTGTTATTTACCAGTTTAATGGTAGAACCTTAGCCTTGTTCTCCAATTTGACTCCACTTCTGACTGCTTTAATCTGTACATATCAGGTGCTACATACCAACCTTTCCGTCAGTGATGGACCACATATATGATGGTGGTCCTTTAAGATTAAAATGGAGCTGTAGAATTCCTATCACCTACTGATGTCACAGCCGACTTAATGCAATAGCTCAATGCAATAATCACATAGGAGCAATAGGCTATACCGTATAGACTAGGCATGTAGTAGGCTATACAGCACCTAGGTTTGTGTAAGGACACTCTATGAAGTGTGCACAACGACGCATTTCTCAGAATGTATCCCTGCAGTCAAGCAACACATGAATGTACTATCATCTGCATGCTTCACCTGTGAATTTCAGTTGTCTTCGTAAATTACTTTTTGGTAGCCCTATTCTAACAAGGTATGTAATACTATTGGTTCCAACTGGGATCTTAGAAAAGCATTAGGGGTTAAATAACATATTGGCCCACATTTATTGCTTGGAAGCCAATGGTGCAGTATGTCCCCTTCTTGGTGAATTCTATCAGGGAGCAGCCTCGAGAGGTTTCATCTTGAACTGAACATGCAAAATTCTACAATACCTTCCAATATACCTTCTGGGTCCTCATTAATCTCATGAAACATTCACCTGTTTTCTCCTCTCATACTTGTAAATGACATCTTACTCTTTATGTATGTGTGAGTTTCATGTCACATACAAATATAAAATTAGGCAGAAAGCCATTTGATGGTTTAATACATATTCATTAGAAGTTTATAAACAAAAATATTCAAAAGCTTAATGGCTGTAAATTAAACCATTTTTAACAAGTCATTTGATAGAAGTAACATTCATTTACTCTATCACTGCATACTAAATTATAGAAACATATGAAAAGTTTATCAAGATCTACAACATATAAAAACCTTTTGGAATATAACCCTAAACTGAATTACACTTTAAAATATTATACCTGAGCAATGATTTGTTCTCCATCATTGTATACTTTGGTGCCTATTACATCTACCACTTTCAGGCGTTCAGAAACCTACAAAGAAGAAAAAGACAAATAAAATAGAAATAGACTAAATTAGATACTCTTATCTATTTTAGAGGTTAAAAACTGGTAGCCTATAAGCCAAATATGTTGAACAGTGTGTGAGTTGTATGTGTGTTTGTTATATTAACTGCTAGCATTTTAAAATAAATTTTTCATAAAAACTTCAATTTCCAGCTTCTCTTGAAAAATCAGAAGACTTAGCAACACTAAGCCCATATTTACACATGGCAACAATAAAACCATGGTGGAATAAGCAGCTGTTTCTTCAGAGGGAGCACATGTTCTCCAATTTGCCAAAGTCCCTTCCTGGCTTGGTTTTCTTTTGTTACTTGCCTAGCTCTGCAGGCATTGGATTTCCAAACATTATCTATTTTTACTTAAAGAGATATGCTACTGGAGAAGATCAGCTACCTAACATGCATTCATAATAGGGCCAAAATTGCTACCAGGCACAAACTGACAAACCAACAGAGAAATGAGAAAGGACAAGCACTGCTACAAGGATATTTCAAAAGTTCATGGAAAGATCTGTTTTTCAACTCTATTTTTCCATGAACTTTTTGAAGTACCCTCATATTTTGACATTTGCCATCTTATGACATTGTGGGTACATATATACTCTGTTTTACTTTATAAAAATATTTTAAATATGAACCTAAAATATCTAGAAAAACTTTGAATTTAATAATGAAATATGGAAAGTTTTCTCTAAGTCTCCTCCCTCCTTCAGAGATAAAAACATAACAGCTGGTCTCACTGAGAAGACAGCTGGGCTAAGAGATGAAGGAGATGATGGGATGAGCCATGGGCTGTGTAGGAGGACATTCCAGGCAGAAGGAAAGTACAAAGGCCCTGAAGTAGGTGTGGCCTGGGCATGTCTGAAGGAACAGCTAGAAGCCAAAGTGTCTAGAGAGGATGGGGAGTGTGGAGCAGTAGGAAATGCGGTCAGAGGGGTAACTAGTGGGCGCACAGGACACACTGTCTAGGGCCTTAGAATAAGCAAGGTGTGCCATGGTGTGGGTTTTAAAAGGATTATTCTGGGCTGGCCCGGTGGCGCACTGGAGAGTGTGCCACTTGGGAGTGCAGCGGCGCTCCCGCCGAGGGTTCAGATCCCATGTGGAGACCAGTTCCCGCTCACTGGCTGAGCGCGGTGCGGGCGCAACGTTGCGATCCCGTTGCCAGTCCTAGGTACGGGCGCGACACAGAGGGTTGCGATCCCATTACCGGTCAGTACAAAAGACCAAAAAAAAAGGGATTATTCTGGTAGCTGCATAAGCCAGGCAAGAGGTGATGATAGCTCAGAAAGGTGATGGTGGTGAAATATTGGTGTAAAACGACCAGATGTTGGATATATTCTGAAGACAGGGCAGATAAGATTACTAACAGATTGGACATGGGTGGGAAAACAGATGAGTCACTGCTAACTAACTCCAAGGTTTCTAGCCCGAGACACTGGAAGGATGGTGTTGCCATCTCCTAAGATGGGGAAGAGAGAGTAGGAGGAATTGATTTGTTTGAAATGTCCATTAGACACGTGGGAAGAGATGTTAAAAATGCAGTTGGATAAATGAATCTAGCATTCAAAGGGGCCTAGCCTGGTAATGTCAATTTTAGGAGGCATCAGCATATAGACGGTATTTAAAGGCATGGGATTTGAAACATTCACCAAGTGAATAAGTGTAGTCTGAAAAGAGAAGAGACTAAGGACAGCGGCCTGGAATGCCAATTTTAGGAGGAAAGGAAAAGAGAAATAAACAGCAAAGACAACCGAGAGGGAGGCCAGTGAGGACATTCTGTGTTTAGAGAACTCCTCCTCATAAAAGTAGAACTAATGGCTCTTGCCTACATTTATATGGTTGTTTTAAGTCATTAGATAAAGACCACACATAAACTTGCTATAGATGCTGATAGCAATTTGTCTTGCAAATAACAAAACAAATGCAGTTATAGGTAGTAAAAGAAATACTGAGTTATTAAAACCACCACCATTTTACCTTTTCACATGAAAATCTGGATAGATTTTTATTCAAAGAAACTTTTCTATAGAATTAAATATTCCTAACAAAACAAGCTTTTAAAGCAAAATAAAAGCATAAACATATACTTACCTCCAATGATTTAAGAAATGGCAGTGACTCAATAAAGCTCTCATACATTTTTCTCTTTTTGGCATTGTTTTTCACAATTATTCTCCTGAAGGTTACCCTGTCCTAAAGGCAGAATATCAAATACAAAGACAAATAAAAGGCAGATTTTATGGGGGAAAAATGTCTGAACAAATAGTTTTGGTTGTTTTTTTTTTCTAACCGGTAAGGGGATCACAACCTTTGGCTCAGTGTTGTCTGCACCACACTCAGCTAATGAGCACACTGGCCATCCCTATATAGGATCCGAACCTGCGGCCTCGGCGCTACCAGTGCCACAAGTGAGCCACGGGGCCGGCCCACAAATAGTTTATATTATTCCCAAAAGGACCAAACAACAATTGATGGTTTTTGAAATAAGACTAGCATTATTATACTTTTAATGCAACTCATTTCAGATTTTTTTCTTTAAGCATAAAATATAATATAAAACCATAAGATGTTTTCATTTTTCATTAAAAAGAAAGCATCAGTTGACTTTTATTCATAATGGAAGTCTGACCAACATGTAATTGGGCTATCCCCACAAGGAGGCACTGTTACACCATTTTAAAAAATATATACAAGCACCGTGTTCTTTTACTGTAGATGGCAGCCGTAGAGGCTTAAAAAATCAATTAGGTAGGATATGACCAGCATTTTAATTAAAAAAAGGAAAAAAAAAATCTCCAAGTGTATCCCCCATAATATTGTTTCGTTAAATATTCAGTCATCCAAAAAGACACAAAAACAAATGCACTTATTTTCATGATGTTCCTCACTTGTTTCTTAATGTAGGCTGTAATAAAAAACATATGGAAAACACTATTAGAAAAAAATATAAAGCAATTATGTGAGAGATGTTGAAAATTATGTACTCTAAGTTCTTTGTGATATCCACATAATGTCAATTTTTTTTTTTTAAATGCGAAGGCACAGAAAGGCTACAATTTTCTTAAGTAAAGTCTAATTCCAGTGCTTATCATGTTCAGGGTCTAAAATGTTCCTGTTTATGTTTATGCTGCATGACCTCAAAGATACAGAACTCAACTGAGGAACCTGAGAAATTTTTAAGGACAACATCTCAAAAAATAATTTTCCTGAAAATTTTTATTTGGAAAAAATTCTCACAGAACATTGTTTAATTCTTAAATGAAAGCCACAATAATTGTTAGTTTGGCATTCACTGATAAACAATTACACCATTTTAATAAAATAAAAATTGGGATATGTTATTTAATTAATAAATCACCATGCCAATATATTACAACTGAGTTTAAATGAACTAGTACAATAGAGAAAAATGCTCATATAAATGTAAGTCTCTAGGTGTGAGGGACTGTTTGTGTCCCCCAAAAATTCAAGTGTTGAAAGCCTAACTCCCAACATGATGGTATTAGGTAGTAAGGCCTATGGGAGGTGATTAAGCCATGAGTGTGGAGCCCTCATGAATGAGATCAGTGCCCTTATAAAATAACAGATCCTATTAGAGCATGGGTTCGTATCTTCATACCCGCCAGCCACCAAAAAAAAAAAAAAAGATTTCCCAAAGAGCTCCCTTGCCTATTCCACTACAAGGAAGATGCATGACATCTGTGAACCAGGAAGTTGGCCCTCACCAGACACTGAATCTTCTGGTATCTTGATTTGGACTGCCCAGCCTCTAGAACTGTGAGAAATAATTGTCTGTTGTTTGTTTAAGCCACCCATTCTATGGCAGTCTGTCATAGCAGCCCAAAAGGACTAAGACACTAAGAAATTAAACATCTTGCTCCCCAATTCGGTTTACTACAATTTGGTATTGGCTGTAATTTCAACTTGTACTCTTTTTTTGGACTTGCACTCTTAATCATTTTTTTTTAAAGAGAAAAATTTACAAGATAATTAACACAAACATTGAAATTATTTCCAAGATTGGCTGTGCATCAGAATTAGCTGGAGTATCAAAAAAGATTTCTGAGATCCCAGACTTTAATGACTCAAAATCTCTGCATGTAGGGCTCAATAGTCTATATTTCATAAAAGCTATCCAAGTGATTCTAATATATAACCAGGTGTGGGAACCAGGTATACCACCATTTTATGAACAGTCTATTGCAAAGCAGAGAAGACCCAAATAGTCTAGTGATTTACAAATTTACAATGAGTTCTACCTCTCAGGAAGAATTTTCTGTTATAGTGGCCCACCTCCTTCACACTCACTGTGACATATAAAGTCCAGAAAGTCTAATTTCAAATGTTTTCATACTAGTCATTTCAATAACTGCCTCTCTGAACCATCATATGTCATGTAGATCAGCTAATCCCCTAAGGCTAACAGTGACCAAGTATTATTTAGAGTTAGATTAATCTATAAAGGATTTTTCTTTGGAGATTTGCTTATCTTTACACTTGTACGGCAGGCTCCAAACTGCTGACCTTAAAAATTTCTTTTCTACTTGATTTTCCCTGAAAAGAGGTTAGGAAACACTTTAAGTAATTATGTTAATTATTATAATTTTTTTAAAAAGCTATTGCACTTTTTCGTATAATCTAAGGTGATTATCACATACTGCCCACTTTTATAGTTTAATAACATGTATAGACTATTAAAAATACCTAAAAATGCTTCCTGGGAGCTTAAGTATTACACACATTGGGAAATTCTGGGCTTTTTTTTTTTTTTAATCTAATTAAGGTTTCTACCAGGATGGGAAGACTATTAGTATTCAAAGAGGCCAACCTGCAAAATATGTGACCTTGTACAGAGCATGTGCAAGGAAGAGCCCCCTCCTTATTGTGTGGCAATCCCATTGGGATGATCACATTTTTAAATTATACCTTAATAGGACAGATTATGGTAGAAACTAGTATTCATCCCACCACTTTGTTATTAGGCCAACATTTCCTGTGGACAAAGGTCTGCTCTGGTTTGGAGTTTTTTTCTTTGGTGGCTTTGGGTATTCAGAACTTTGATAGTCCTTAAAATACTTCAGGTGATGAGTTTCCTTCCACCTGAAACAATTCCCATTTTTCTCTTACAACTTAAAAAAAGAGACTCATCATATTTCTAATAGTATACAATAACTGCCTGGTTCTAATAAAAAGAAATGTAAAATGTCTTGTTTTTTGATCAAGAAATATTTTCATCAGCTGAATGCACTTCAGAGTCAAATGCTGAGTTATGATCGAATAATGTAACTTCTGTAATATTATAGTCCATGGAAATGAAATTGTTAACTTCATATTTAATCCAACCTCTCCTCCTTCCACAAAAGGATTTGAGAGAAATAACCTAATAAACACATGTCCAAACTATAGGGTAGGCTGTTTTCGACAATTTAAAAAGAAAATCCATGAATTGTAAACATTCCCCTAAATAGGTGCTGCTTAAAGTGTGGTTTGACACCAGGCACCACTAGCATCTCCTGGGAGCTTATGAGAAATGTAGAATTGCAGGCCTTACCACAGACCCACTGAATCAGAATCTGCATTTTGGAGTCCAACCCCAGGTGCTCACACAAGGAGAGTGGGCTCTGGGCACTTGACATGGTGGCAGCAGTGGTGACTGCAGCAATGAAGGGGAATGGGGTCAGTAAAACCAGCAGTATACGGTTTGAAGGGCCCGGGGCCTATGCAATGTGGTGATGATGGCGGGGTGGCTGGTTACAGCAGCTGGTCTGGTCAGAGCATACCTGGCTACAGGTAGCTACCATAGCTTTTATTATTCAATTGAAAAGCCTTTGAAATTCTTCCAGACTGGAGCACTACTGGAGGTAGGTTCTGAAGTTATTTGTTATTGATTTCAATTGTTATAAAGTTAAAAACATGCTACTAAATTATATTGAAGTAGCCATATCTCTGTCAGATTTGCTTTAAATTTTGGAATTTTGCCTCCTAGCATACTGTAATGTTGATACCTAGACAATCTTTTTGACTTTCTAGATAAGGTAAAATCTCATTTAACTTGTATTATCTGGAATATATTTTGGATTAAACTTTTATTGGAAATCAAATGGAACAAGCTTATATTAGAATTTTTTTTTTAAATTGTAGGGACATCCTAGGGAAGCACTGGCAAACTCAGATACAAGTTGAGTATTCCTTATCCAAAATGCTTGGGGCTACCTCAAACTCTGCCCCCACCTGCAACCAGGCAAGCAACAGAACCAGCTGCCTGAGGTCCTGGGATAGGAGCCAAGGGCCAGTCCCATCCCCCTGACTCCCAACATCATCTTAGAGTGTACTTATTAGCCACATGTGTTTCTTTGGGGTGTGTGACTTGTCTGTTCATGTCCCTCACCAAATTTCTGCTTAGATTTTTCTAATTCGTTTTTAAGAGATCTTTTTGCATAAAGGATGTTAATCTTTGAGTGTCATATTTGTTCCTTATCAATTGACTTTAAAATTAATTTGTCATATTTTCCTTTGTGTCTATGTTGAGAAAATAATTTTCTAAACATTAAAAAAAGAAAGAAAATAATCTGCATTTTAACTAGATTCCTAGGTGATATGGAAGCACATTAAAGTTTGAGAATTGCCGGCCCGGTGGCGCACTGTGCTAGTGCGCCGCTTGGGAAGCGTGGCGGCGCTCCCGCCGAGGGTTCGGATCCCACATACAGACCGGTTCCTGCTCACTGGCTGAACGAGGCGCGGGGGCAACACCGAGGGTTGCGATCCCGTTGCCGGTCCCGGTCCGGTACGGGGGCAACACTGAGGGTTGCGATCCGTTGCCGGACATGGAAAAAAAAAAAAAAAGACAAAAAAAAAAAAAGTTTGAGAATTATTACCTTAAATACAATCTTCCAGAACTCTTCTATCATATGTAAAAAGAATCTTCCTCCCCATACCCACCCCCTCACCCAAATATGTTTTTAAACCAACTTTTACGTCTTGTAGAAATACTACCCTTAAGAAATTTATTTAAAGGTACTAATGCCCAGGTTCCACTGCTGGAGATTCTAATTATATTTGTCTATGGTGGAATCTAGGCAATAGGATTTAAAAAAAAAAAAAAATACCCCAGGTAATTCTGATGTGCAGCCAGGTGAGAAGCACAGGCACCAAGTATTTTTTTCTTTGTGCAGCTGCTTTTAAATGCAAAGTTGTTACCAATTCATTTATACCACTGAGAGAATCCATTTATAGTGGTTTCCCAAACTCTAGCATGCATCAGAATTACCTGCAGGGCTTGCTCAAATATAGACTGCTGGGCCCCATCTCCAGGGTTTCTAATTCAGTACATCAGAATCAGTAGGTGGAGCTTCAGAATTTGTATTTCTAACAAGCGCCCTGGTAATATGGATGCTACTGGTCAGGGGACCACACTCTGGGAACTACCAATTTATCAGATTATAATACCTCAAAAAGCTATTTGAGAAAAAAACACTGAAAGCTTTGTTTATTTGTTTGTTTGTGTGGCTGGTTGTTTTTTAAGAATGGGTTTGAAAGGAGCATTTTGTATCTGAGTATCTCTCCAAGGGCCAACAGTTCCTAAAAGCTTCTCACTGAACTAGAGGATTGGGGGAAAGAACACAAAGATCTGACTTAGTACAGTCTGAGAGCCCAACAGTTCAGCATCCAGTAGCTGCTTAATAAATTTCATTATGACTGATGACCCCAAATATATCTACCTATTAGAATTAAAATATTGTAACTACCTGGCTATTGTCATAACAATTTTTACAAATAACAACATTCTGGTCAAATAAATATTTTACTCACCAAACCCCACAGAGCACCAGGAGAGGTAGCAGTGATTGTAGCTGCTCTGGGTGTATTGTACATTAAGGCCAGTTCGCCGAAACTCCCACGGTTATCATAATTACCAACACATCTTCCAACACCGTCACATTTTACATAAATATCAAATGTTCCTCTGTTGGACATATGCAAATTAGAGGTAAAAGTAATTCAAATAAATAAACTCATTACAATGAAACATTATTTCAGAGAAGAGCCCTGTGCAATAAAATCTTATTTTCGGCCTGTCTGTCCCCTCTGATGACAAGTAATAAAAGGGCATTGATATGTGCTAATCTGTTCCAAACCAGCATGAAGAGACCATCAACTAGACTAACTAGGGTAAGGGCCATATATGTGCCTGCTGGGGAAAATGTGACTAAACAATAAAAATTTTAAATAAAATAAATTTTAAAAGTATAACTAAAACTACAACCAAATATTATGGAAAATCATCTAAAGGAACATGTATCAAACCATTGACTGTAATTATCCCAGAGCATAAAGAATAGTGACGGATTCCAGAGACATTCATTTTCTAATTTAAGAGTTTTTATTTCTAAAATGAACCTGTATTACTTTTGTGAACAGAAGAAAATAATCATTTTTTTAAAAAGAGTATAGGTATATAAATTTGGTTAGCCACTACTCCACAAAACTTACTAGGATTCTTTACAGTCTATAGCAAGGGTAAACAAATTATGGCCCACAGGCTGGCTGCCTGCCTTTTAAAATAAAGCTTTACTGGAATATAAACACACTTGGTCATTTATGCATTATGGCTGGTTTTGTGCTTCAACAGCAGAGTTGAGTAGTGGCAACAGAGACCATATTGATTCGCGTATTGACCCACAAAGCCTAAAATACTTATTCTCTGGCCATTTATACAATTTGCCCTTTTCTTTAGATTAGCCCCCAATCTAAAGTTAAAAAGTGATAGAAATTCAGACTACAGATTTGACCCTGATCTTTCTACAGTTTTTCTGAGCTGATCTTTCTTTTTTTCTTTTTTAAAGATGACCGGTAAGGGGAATTTAACCCTTGACTTGGTGTTGTCAGCATCACGCTCTCCCAGTGAGCGAACCGGCCATCCCTATATGGGATCCGAACCCGTGGCCTTGGTGTTATCAGCACCGCACTCTACCGAGTGAGCCACAGGCCGTATTTATCGTGTGAGGATATTGTGGTAAAGTACAACTTGAATTTTCTGAAATTGGATTTCCTGTATAAATGCATGCCTCGAACCCGTGGCCTTGGTGTTATCAGCAACCACACTCTCCCGAGTGAGCCACGGGCCAGCCCTGAGCTGAGCTTTCAATTGGGGTTCTTTTTCTAGGCAAATAAAACTCAGTTTTTGTCACTGCACTACATATTATCCAGACCCTATATTTATATAAACTACATTCTTCATATGGACGACTGTCTTTCCACATACTACACTTTATCAGCGAGAACATGATTTCAAGGCTTGCTGAAGCACCTGTGAGGGCAGACAGGAGAAATTCTGTGGCTTTAGTCTGTTGGCTAAACCCTAACAAAGACGGGGGTGGGGGGCAAGAGAGGGAGGGGCTCTTAAGATTAGAAAGGATTACAAATAGTAAAGAAACAATAAGAACATAAACAAAATAACAGACAAAAGATATTAACAAATAAGGAAGAAAATAATTGGGTTTTAATATAATTCATGGTAGAATGACTGTTTCAAAGATACCTTCTAGAATTTGTTCCATGGATAATTATTATTCAAGTATACATTAAACTCTTCTATTTACACAACTTATACTTTTGCACCGAAAATGTTTTCTACATTTACAACTTTGAATAGGATAAAATATACAACAAATTGTGTTGATGAGAAGTAAAACAAGTTACCAGTCCAGTTGAAATCATATCAGTCTAAAGTCTGTTAAAATACTGTGACTGCTTTTTCATCCAGATTTCTTTCCTGATAATATGAGGCCTCAGGCAGTGCACCACCATGGAAAAAGCATAAAAAGTGACCAGAAGACCTGGCTATGGGATCGGCTCTATGTTGATCATCTGGTGACCTTAACCAAGCCTGTCACTTCTAGGTGCCTCAGTATTTCAACTGTCCATGGGTGATTAGGACTTAACTGAAAAGAGAATGTACAATACACAAATGTAAGGCAGTTTTTATTGTCAAAAATACCCACTAAAAGAAGTTTAATTGTATGTGGGGTTCTCATATACCCCTACAATTAAACACAGACAGTTGAGTGCATTCCTGAGGTGTTTCATTGATTAAAGCTGTTAATGATACCAAAATCATGACTTGGATTTACACTTGGGATAATTGGTTTTGTTCTATTCTACAATCCTGGCTAGTACCTTGGCAAAAGGCATTAGGGACGAGGGAACGGAGGAATCAGTGAAAACCCTTGACTGAAAGAGCATGTGTGACCAGTGTATGAGAGACACCACCCACAGAGCCAAGATCAGGAGCCCCAAGGTGAGACACCAGAGGTCTAATTTTCAGCAAGCCTTCTGAGTTAAACACAACTCTACCCAGAGAAACAAATGTAATCCAATGAATCAGGCTAAAAGGTGATCTGTACTCCACACAAAACAGGGGTCAGGAATACCAACTGTCTCACGAACACTTCATCATTTTACAAGTGAAGAAATAAAGACTCAGTTCAGACTGCTCGCCTAGGACATTTTAGGACTCATCTATTTATCGTGTGAGGATATTGTGGTAAAGTACAACTTGAATTTTCTGAAATTGGATTTCCTGTATAAATGCATGCCTTCTCATTTCAATAAAATAATTTCTCTATAGAGTTTTTTTTAAAAGACAAATATAATAATGCACAATTTCTGGAAGGACACACAAACTATTCACTCTACTGACTGGATGATGCTGAAGCGGTAGGAAGAAAGACTGACTTTTCACCTTAAGCCCTTCACAAACATTTTAATTTTTTTAAATGATGAACATAGGTAAGAAAAGAACCCTTTAAAAAAACACAATATAGATTAAGTTATATTGTGATTTAACATCCTAGATGCTGTATACTTTTATTCTCATTCTAATAGGCATCTATTATATACTGACTATTACATATTATCTTTCCAAAAGAATTTAGCAAATGAGGATGCTCACATTAAATGATGGAGATTTACAGATTAAACTAATCAAAAAATCATCAGGTATTCTATAAACTATACCTCTTTTCATGATCTAGTGTGGTTTTACTGAATACATTCACAACAGGTTTACAGAGCCTATTATGTAGAAATAAGAGAGGCAATAGCAACTATTACATATAACTTGTCAGTTGTCATAATAACCACTGAGCTTTTACACCAAAGGTTCTTTAAATTTCTGTAGTGAAATTGGGGAAAACTTACCTATCAATTACGTAGAAGTTGTCACCATCATCACCTTGATCAATTACATGCTCTCCTTCTTTGACCAATTTTTCAAACATGGCATCTAATACTTGAGACATCTGCTCCTATTGTTTACAGAGATAAGATATAATCTTTATGTTTATCTAGCACGTTTTAAGTAACCATAATAACCTTTATATTTCTGTGAATAAGCCCAAAGAAATGGAAATACCATCATTGCCAGTAAGTCTTGTCAGAAAAAGTGTCCCTTACCATATACAAATGAGATGATTATATATTTACTCTCATATTCAGTATCTGAATAAAGGTAATTATAATTAGTCTATTTCAGAATATTTGTAACTATCACCATTTTAAAATGAAAAATTAACCACTAAATCACCATATACCTTGTGAAGTATAATCTTAGCAACTAAAATGACCAGGTTAGTAAAAAACTATTTCAAATATCTTTTAACAATATTGGTTTTTAAAACTTCCCTAGATTAGTAAAGAATTTATGTAAAGATTACCTAAATACTTGGTGAATTTAGATCCTGATTCCAATCCTTCTTTTTGGGTTAGCACCAAAAAGCAAAACAGAAAAATAGAAAAACAACAAAAGCAAAACCAAAAATAACTGTGGCAAATACTCTGTCGCTATTCTTTTTCATGAAGGTTCTCTTCAAGAAACAACCATTTGCCTCATTAGGGCAGATTTGTCAGGAACATCAAAACTATTATTCACCGACTACTTAACCTACAGTAGCCCCCCTTATCCATGTAGGTACGTTCCAAGACCCCCAGTGGATGCCTGAAACCACAGGTAGTACCAAACCCTACATATACTATTTTTTTCTATACGTATATTCCTATGATAAAGTTTAAATTATAAATTAGGCACAGTAGGAGATTAGCAACAATAGCTAATAATAAAATAGCTTCTGAACTTGGACGGAACCACACTACCAGCATCCAGTTTGCAGATGGCCTATCATGGGACTCCTTGGTCCTCACAGTTGCATGACCCAATTCCCCTCATAAGTCCCTTCTCATATATTTATAAACATATCCTATTGGTTCTGTCTCTCTGGAGAACCCTGAGTAATAGAGGAGTTTAAGGTATATTTGAAAGGGAAAAAAGATGCAAGTGGAAAACACTGGTTGAAGAAACAAGATATTCTGGATCAATAGTATAACAGATCACATGTGATTCTCTTCCTTTTGAGATCCCATTAAAATTTTATACAGAATATGAAGATGTGAATCTACAACAGTGTAGAGTACGGGAAGGGGCAATTGATGAATGAGAGAATTCAAGAGCAAAGTTAAGTTAAGGGGCTGGCCCGTTAGCTCAGTTGGTTACAGCTCAGTGTTACAACACCAAGGTCAAGGGTTCGCATCCCATACTTGCTGGCCACCAAAAAAACAAATAAAACATAACAAAGTAAGTTAAATGTGGCAGAGCAAGCAGCCCAGAGTAGCACAACAGGCCTGCAGTGTGGAGGGGCCAACCTGCCTTGCAAAACACCAGGTGGCTAGAGACTGGGAAATACCTAATTCCTTCAGGGTGGGACTGAGACATAAAGCTAAAAACAAGTGGATACCTTCCTTCAAAATCCCCCTACCCTAAACTCAGAATGCCTAGCAGCCAACTGTTGACCCTAACTCTTCCCAGAAAAAAGACCAAAGAGAAACTAAGCAAATTAGAGAGAACTAGAACAGATATTGTGAACACTGATGCCCTAGAACAAAGACCTTCACTTGGCTAGAATTTAAAGGTTCCCCAGTGTAACAGCTGGCTCTCTGTCAGCTCAACCTAAACAATACGGTAGTTGACAGGCCTGCTCTCCTTACTCAGAACTCTAAATCATCTTTCTGTTGCCCCTCCGGTAGCCTACAAGATGAAACTAAATAGCAAAATAACACCACATGAGATAGATATTTCAGGAATAGACAGCTTTCAGAAAGTTCTCCTTGCACACCTAGAGATTCAAGATGATATTATATCCTTGAGACAAAAAAATAGGATGTTTAGAAAAAGAATAAATCAGAGAAAACTAGGTAGCTTAGAAACTAAAAACATGATTGCCAAAATTTTTTCCTTTAAAATACTTTTTTAGAGCAGTTTTAGGTTTACAGCAGATTTGAAAGGTACAGAGATTTCCCATATACCTCCTGCCCCCACACATGCACAGCCTCTCCCATTATCATCTCCCACCAGAGTAGTACATCTGTTATAGTTGATGAGCCTACACTGACATCACTCTCTCTCAAAGTCCATAATTTATATTAGAGTTTGGCTCTTGGTTCTTGTACATTCTAGGGTTTGACAAACATATAATGACATATATCCATCATTACAAAATTTTTAAAACTGTAAATGAAAGAAGATAAATTAAAACGAAAAGCCTCAAAGAAAGTTGACAGAGGTGAAAAGATAAGATTTCTAGAGAAAGTAAGAACAAATAAAACAAAAGGGAGGAAATAAAGAAATATGGGATTTCTTTTCCCATATTTCCAGAACCAAAGGATACAAGTTTTCAGACTGAAAGGACACACTCAAGTGCTCAGCACAATCAACCAGCAAAACTCCCACACTAATATGACATAATGTATTTTTAGAACACCAAAGATAAAGATCTGTAAAACTTGCAGAGAAAAAATGTGGGGGGTGTTCTTAAAAATATGTGTGTGTATATATATGTGTACTATATGTATATATATATTTATACTTTCTTAAAAATATTAAAAAATGCTCAGCTTCTCTCAAAAATAGAAGTGAAAATTAAAATCAAAACGAGACTCCACTTTTTACTTGTCAGATTCAAAAAGACACAAATGTTAGAACAACACTGTTGGAGACAGTGTGGGACAGAGGCATTCTCACAGAGACTTCTAATGAGAACATAAAATGGAATAAATTCTTCGGAAAGCAATCTGACAATATTTAACAAAATTTCAAGCATGCATACCCTTCCACCTCACTATTCCTTTTCTAGGAAGTTATTCAACAGATAGTTCTGAAATGATATGGACACCAGCATTTTTCACTGCACCATCATAATAGCAAAAGATTGGAAACAAACTGATGTTCATCTACAGGGCACTGGGTGAATAAGCTGTGGTATATCCACACGCTGAAAAGCTCTGCAGCTGTAAAAAAAAGCATGTGGGGATTTTCATACATCCAACTTTCAAGCAAGTCCCTGACAATGAGAGAACACCCAGAGAAGGGTAATCAGGAAATCTGAAAACCTGCCATAGGGGAAACAGCTCAGGAAACGGGGCATTTAGGTGAGAGAAAAGACGACCTACATGGGAACACATCAGCTGTTTTCTGTCACACAGACGACGTCAGTGGTTCTAGAAGCCAGACTGGGGCTGTTGGTAGAAGTTTCGTGGAGATTTTATTTTTGTTGCTGTTCTTGTTCTTTCTTTTTTCTTCTTTTTGTTTGTTTACTTTCTCTTCATGTTTTTTTTTTTTTTTCATGGAGATTTTAGAACAATGTAAAGACCAGTCTAAGAATGAGAGCTGGCTAGCAGTGACAAGGACTACTTTGCAAAGAGAGAAGCTCCTTGTCGCTGCAGGGAAATGTTTAAGCATAGGCTTTACATTTGATGCTGTAGAAAGGGCTGTAGAAAGGGCTCAGTGTTTCTCAAACTGCGGTCTGTGGAACCCAGGGATTTTGTGGAGGTGCTTCAGAGACTATCAACAGTTGATTTTAATTTCATCCTAAAAATATATTTTAGCTATTAAATACTAAAATAATTGGAAATCAACATGCTCAGATCAGTATTCCTTTTATTTCCTTTTCTTATCTCATTGCATAGAGGACTTCCAGCACAATGTTGAAAAGCAGTGGTTAGAGGTAAATACACATTATTTTATTGAGGTAAAATTCACATGACATAAAATTAACCATTTTAAGGTAAACAATTCAGTGGCCACAAGTTGTGCAACCACCACCCACAGTTAGGTTGGGGTATTTTCATCACCCCAAAAGGAAACTCTGTACCCATTAAGTAGTCATTTGCCACTCTCCTATCCCTTGGCAACCATCTATCTGTTTTCTGTCTCTATAGATTTATCTATTCTCAGTATTTTATATAATGAAATTGTACAACACGTGACCTTTTGTGTCTGGTTCATTTCACTTAGCATAATGTTTCTAGGTTCATCCCCATTTAATTTATCACACGTCAGTCCTTTTTCAGGCTGAATAATACTCCATTGTGTGTATATACCACAATCTGTTTATCCATTCTTCTGTCAATGGACACCTGGGTTGATTCCACCTTTTGGCTTTTGTGAATAGTGCTGCTATGAACATTTGTGTACAAGTATTTGTCTGAACACCTGTTCTCAGTTCTTTTGTGTATATACCCCTGAGCGGGACTGCTGTGTCATATAGTAACTCTACGTTTAACTTTTTGAGGAACCACCAAGCTATTTTCCACAGCAGCTGAACCACTTCACATTCCCACTAGCAATGCATGAGGGTTCTAATTTCTCCACGTACTTGCCAACATTTATTATTTCTTTTTTGGTTTGTTTAATTATAGCTATCCTAGTGGGGATGAAGTGGTATTTTCATTGTGGTTTTGATTTGCATTTCCCTAATGACTAACCATGTTGACAATTTTTTCATATGCTTGTTGGTTATTTGTATGTCTTCTTTGGATAAATATCTATTCAAGTATTTTGTCCATTTTTAAATTGGATTTTTGTCTTTTTGTTATTGGGTTGTATTATTTATATACTTGGAATACTAGATCCTCATCAGATAAATGATTTGCAAACATTTTCTACCATTCTGTACATTGTCTTTTCACTATTTTTTTTCTTTTTTTTTTTTTTTTTGTCTTTTTCCGTGTCCAGCAATGGATGGCAACCCTCAGTGTCGCCCCCACACCGGACCGGGACCGGCAACGGGATCGCAACCCTCGGTGTTGCCCCGCGCCTTGCTCAGCCAGTGAGCGGGAACCGGTCTGTATGTGGGATCCGAACCCTCGGCGGGAGCTCTTTTCACTATTTTTGATAATGTCCTTTGATGTTTAAAAATGTTTCACTTTGGGCCGGGCCCGTGGCGCACTCGGGAGAGTGTGGCGCTGGGAGTGCAGC